TTGAGGTTTGTAAATTCTGACAATCAAATCACACATCACTCGGTAAAATGCGTTGCTTGGAAAAATTTACCGCAAAAACTAATGTTCGTAGAAAAATTATAGTATTAAATACGCGCTTCTCTCATGAAATTAAATTCGTGTTTAAAATGGGGTTTGAAGTGCAGCATCTTGTTTTTTGGAAGTACCTACCCAGCAAGTTCAATGTTACAACCGTCCGCCCTTATTTGGTCGGAAAACTAAATGTGTGGTTTTGTCAATTTATTTGAGAGTGTTATAAACACTGAAGGCGGTACGGTAGTGTTACGTTTTCACTAGGATAGTTCGTGGGCCATGCAGAAAAAAATGAATGACAGTTGAAGAACACTAAAAAGCACAATATATATTTTATCCAAAAAAAACACTTCCATTATTAACAATGGATTAGCTTATCTGTTTTATCTTATCCGTTCATTTCCAGAAATCTACTTTAGGACGCGTGAACTTGAGCTAATCTCAACTAACTCAAGCTGATTTGGACGAGTAATATTTATTTAGTTGGAGAATTCAGCGGGTAGTGCTATACCCAATGTGTGCTCGGCACCGAGAAACTCCAATCTCCAAGAATTTCGGAATTGCATTTAAAACTATTTTTTGATAGCTTCACGCGACTTTTGCGACAAAATGTTCTCCGTATAAAGAAAGCAAAGCCTTAAAAATAGTACGTAGATAGTATAAAAATGATATAGTGGTTTAATTCAATCGACGCCATTCATATGCTTTGTATTTATACTATCAAGCCAAAATTAATTTTTGTTAAATTTAAAATCAAATCATAAGTCATACCTTTACATTGCCCAATTACCAACGATGATTTCATTATTAGGATAACTCGGCCGATGCTGCGCCTTTTTAGCGGTTTTGCAAATAATTTGAAACGTCAAGGCACAATAGTAGGAAACAGTAGTTAAGAACTTTTTTTTAAAGAAACAGTTTTCTTTTTTTTTTGGGTTTTCATTGCACACGTAATCGAAGTGTCATGATCTAGTTTTTGCTGGAGCATTTACATAATTATAGTTTTGATAACTGGTCTCTCTGATGAGGTGGCGAATGTCGCATGATTAGTACTTTCACATTTTTCTCCTGCCTATCGGGCAATCTTTGGGCCATGTTTTCTAATGGATGATTGAATTTGATTTGTTCGACTGATTTGGGTTATAAACGTAATTGCACAAGCGGTTTTGCGAAATAAACAGCTTTTTGAAACAACTGGGGAGCGGCAAGGATTTTTTTTTGTATAGTCTGCCTCAACCTTCATCGTGTTGGATTTCGACGGACCCTCCCCTATAAAACTTTAACAAAAAAATTATTCTTAGTTGAGTGACAAGGCAGGGGTGGGCCAAGTATATTTCTTTCTGATATATTTCATATATTTCGTAAGGGTTGACCATTTGTGGTGTGTTTTCACTGTGCGTTTCGAAGAAGTTGTTTTACGAGAATATAACAGTGTCGCGTCGAAATCATTTGTCGCTTGATGCAAAACACGTGAACAATGTGTATGAAACTTTAATCAGTAGAGCAGGAAGCTTTAAAGAAACCTGTCCACTTAACAAAAACGCCAATATCGTAGGTAAGGGATATTATTAGTAGTGGAGAATTGTAGGAAAGGAATAAACGTAGTGATTTTCAAACTCAACGTATAGATAATAGTGAGGACCCAATAATAAGGAAAATATATTGTCCTTATCAAACTGAAAAAGAAAGTAGAAGATGAAACCAATATAAATATAAGCCGTGCCACCCTCCATAGAGTTGTTTGCAAAATGGGTTTTAAGTGCCGCAAAATAGACAAAAGGTTAGTAGTAATGGAATCACACAGGTGACACTCATGGGGATTTAATTATTTTCAAGAAATTAAAAGATTAGACAACAGATCCATATTTTACTTTCTATGAATACACACACGATACACATGACACTGTATCCAAAGGTTGGGTTGATTCCACTCAAAACTGTCAGACGAAAGCACCTTCAAATATAGGAAAAGCCATAGTACACGCTGGGTCAGAAGACGGATTTTATCATCATCGCATAAAGCACCAGCCTCATTAAGTTCAAAAATTGAAATCCAGAAATATTTGTTAGAAAGTGATATTTATTTTGCATTCAGTTACAAAAAAGCGCAATTAAAAACATGTATGCGATAACTTGGCTGACCAGGCTTGGCATACTTTGTTACGTCTTCCTCCATATCATTGCACATTTAACCCCATAGAGCACTTGTGGAACCGAGTAAAATCAAACGTCAGAGCAGAAAAGATTACTCCATGCTTTAAGTGCCAGTGTTATAAATTTGATAAAAAATGTAATTAATAACATCTCAATTGACAGCTGGAAAAATTCTGTACAGTATATTACAAAAATTGAGGACTCTTACATTTCTATACAAACCAACAGAAATCGTATTATATAATTATATAATTAATCTCATTAGCAATGAAACAGAAGTAGATTTAAACATGTAGAATAAAAATGTAATTATGTATAGATATTTCTAGCTATGAATTTATTGTATTGTTTTTTCTTGGTGTAATTTAATAAGAATATACCCATCTAAATAAACAAAAAAAATATTACCAAAACATTTGCGAGTTCGTCCCCAATGCCTGTACTTTAATACCTACCGGACCCGAGTTTTATTGTCGTCGCCAGGTAACTTCCATAAATGCAGGCAAAAGCCAGCACGATACATCAGAATGAGACCACGTAAAATCCTAGTACCGTGCAGGTACTTGGTCTCATAACATAGGGTCGGACTTCGTCTTCCTGCTTTCAGTTTAATAATTAACACTCACCAACTGTATATTTCTTAAGGGCAAGTGCTGCAATTTCATGTCAAGTTAGGATTTCAATAATAAAAATCTTTATTGAATAAAGTAAGTAAACATTTTATAATTCGTAGTTTGATCAAGAACCAGCTGAATGGTTGAAACTACTTATTCTTAAAACCTTGAATTTAGTTTACTTATTTATTTTGGTACTATGTAATACGCAAATAATTATTTTAAATACTATCAACGGGCTTCAAGAAACGCCCTACGACGTTTGAAAAAGATTTTGCAAATAGTCGAAGGAAAAATATAGTATATATAATAATATATAGTATAGATTGATAAATTTACTCAGTCATTTATTTATTAAACACTTGCTTCGTTCTAATTTAATTTGGTGATCTGATCTATTTTATAAAACTTTCTTTGTCTTAAATACTATAAATTAAGTTTATCTAAGGCCTAGAAGGGTGATATAAGATTCCTTAATTCACATGAAGGTTTATCTGTTTTTGTAATAGGCTTTTGCCGTTATTTTTTACCGTTCTATTTCTATATAATACACAGAAACTAGCAGAAACAACTAAACGTTATGTTTAACTAAACCAAGCAAGCAGATGAATATTTTTTATACTCATGGGGAAAGTACATATGTCTCTTTTTCTCAGGCGAGGGAAATGAATTCTTGCATTTTTTTTAAGATATAAAGAATATAAAACTTTCTGTGTATTATTTGAATTCAATAAACTAATGAATATATTGTATTTACTCTGAATAAATTCAGTTCTCTGAGTATGCTTTCAATTGTTTACGCATTGTTCCCTCTTTGTGGTAATATCATTTACTCTCTTTCGCTGTGACTCAACTGTGCTCATTATTTTGAGTTGAATTTTAATAAAAAACGTTTAACGGTTGCACACAAATAGCCACAGTGAGTCAAAATGACACAAACACTCGTAAATAAATTTGACAAATCTTTATAATTGATGGTTTATGTTTAATATGTAGAATAAAAAATTATTTTAATTTATTATTTAGCATAGGTACTTATATATATAAAATGCGCATAAATAAAAATAATTATAAAATTATTCATTCAAAATTGTATAACACTTTTACAAAACTAGCCAACAGGATGATTGGCGAAACGTCAGCAAAAACCGACGCAGGAGGAATCCAGAAGTTTTGTAAAAAGTATTACAGTAGAAATTGGATGTTTCTTTGAAAAATTGTATAACCTTCTAAAAATATCTGCGTAATATTTGTTAAAATGATAAATAGACGTCATGGTTCAGTGTGTAGTAAATCGTTTTAAAAAAGGAGAAAGGATTTTGAATCAAAAAAGAAAAAGCCCCCACAAACTATTTAATAAATACGACCAAACATGGATTCTTCGAAAATGCAAGTAAAATCCTATATGAACTGCAAGATTTTTTTAGGAATAGCAGTAAATTCAGAAATCAATGGAATAGTTTTACGAAAAGATAACGATCAATACAGAACTGCTAGAAGAAAACCTAAGTGAAATAAAAAGAAATAAAAAAATGAATGTTGTAAAAGAGTATCACTTTTGGGTTTTGGAACACAGTTTTTTCTGATGAGGGTACGTTTAACCTAACAGTCTGGCGGGGACCTAACGAGTTAGGCGTATTGAGAAAAATCTAACAGTAAAAGTGAAACACAGGGGTGATGGTTTGTGATGGCTTCTTGATGGTATGGAGCTGCATGACCATAGCAGGAGTGGGTAGTATCTTTCGTTTTATAGAAAGAATTTGGAACAAGGAAATTAATCTGATCATTTTAAAAGCGTCAACCAGTTACAAAAACGTTATCAAATCCATAAGGTTCATTTTGAGCACTCATTTTTGTAATGTGAACATGATTTTTTCAATAATATGTAATATTTTTTTTATTTATGCACATTTGGTTGTTTTTGTACTATCTACTTAATACAAACTATTAAATATAGCGGTTTTGTTTGTTTATTTATTTACTACTTAGTTATTAGTGTATCAGTTTAGTTACACTTTGACTCAAACCATCTCCCAGGGTACTTCGTATTATTTCTCGCACGCCTAGCGTATTTGTCACAACGCGGCAACCTCCAAACTATACACGTTTACGCTTCGTCTGACGTATCCTTGTCGGGCGTTACGCCTGCGCTCTCGTTTAGAACTTTCATGAAATTCCAGCGGGCGAAGCGAGTTGGCCAAACAGCGGCAAATCGCCACGTGGTTGAATGTTGTGTGCCGGTTGTAGAACGTCGGTAATAAATCGTGAATTCTAGAACGCAGTATTCTAAAGCGAGGGGTGGCGATCTTTTTTCTTTTTGCTTCGTCGATAAACAGATTCGCTACTTTTACCATACCAAGTTCAAGTGTACCTGGAAGGTTGCAGATATATACCGCTCGTCAAAACAGCTGTTGCGTTTTATTTTTTTGTAAATTTTGTTGGTGCCGCACCATTTTTATTGTTATGGTAAGTTGAAACACGCTTGGCAGTTTTGGCATGGAACTATTTCGTGGTGTCGATAGAAGTGGCATTGTTTCCTAGACAACACACACGTATTTGTGTTTGCTATGGAACCAACAAGTGACGCGATATCTTCCTTTTTTACATATTTACGTGTTTGACTTGTTGTTATATTTATGTATACGCGCTGATACGAACCTTTAAACAAATTGTCGATTTTTAAAATGACACGAATAATTGCTTCTAGCTTGGGCCATTATTTTGCTATCACTTGCGTGTTATCGCAAAAATAATAAATGTGGATGAAGGTTTGACGTCAACAAAATATTTTTTTGACTGTCGCGTAAGTGCATTTTGGCCATTTTGACCATTATTGTATTGTTTGGGGACGAATTTTGTACGACATCTGAATCTTGTAATCCGGCACTGAATTCAGTTTAAGTGGGCAAAAGCTGTGATTACACTGTCCTCTTATTTATAATCAAAATATTGTTAGAAGCCATAACAGAAGGAACACAACACAAAATCCCTCATTAAATACGTCGGTGTTGTATATTAAAGTCCAAAAATTCCCTGTGCAAAACTAATACAGATTTATTTTATGTGGAAGATCTGATCTCGGACGTTACGGTGTTCGTAGACTGATATTTGTTATCATTACAATTGCCATTAAATAATTACATATTCAGAATTGTTTGTTATCATCTTATCAGCTTTTATCCGCTAAATCAATAGATTTATTAATTTTGTCGGATTGCTTATTTTTGGTGTTTCTTGGAATTACCGGGCAGTGTATAATTTAAGGGGCAATAGACACCTGGACTCTTATGTTTTTTACGGAATATCTCTAGTGTTTGTTGTTGCGTTCTATTGGAAAAGACCATATCCTTGAAAATATTAATTATGCATATACTGACAGTTATAGATAATGTTGGAATAAGTTGGTGATAATGCCTATGTAATTGGTTTTCTTGTGCTATTTTGTGGTTAATTTGCGTCCACGTGCAATAGATTGACCTCAAAATGATCTTTGTCCAATTAAATGTAATTTTGAAGTATAAAATTTTGGATTGATTTGAGTTTGAGGAGATATTCTGAACAACCAAAACAAACACGAAAACATTGAAATGGATAGGAAAAACTTTCTCTTGACTTTACGGTTTATAATGTATTTAGGCATGTAAATAATAGAGCACAGTGTGTAAGTAAAATTTCGTACTTTTACAGTAATTCCAGTTTTCGATTTATTTGGAGCTCAGTCCGTTTTAGTGTGATAGTTATATAAAAACCTGATAAAGTGTCATTAAACGTGAATATATTTAATGATTATTCGTCTGTGGGTAATATTTAAAAACTACATTCGAAAATGGATTTATGACTGATTGGCGAGCAATTTCTAATTTTTTTCCCTCCGCAGTATTAAATTTTTTACTGTTAAACTGCAATAAAACTATCTATTGCATTTCTCATTAAATATCATTTTAGTAACTTTCAAATATGTTCGATACCGTCCTTCTAATCGATTGATAGTGTGATTTTATTTTTTTTTAAGCACCAAAGGCGGGTCATTTGATCGTTCTCTGAAATTTCATACACCCAACAATTTTAATTACCGGTGGACTAGACGACCTTCTCCCTCTGCTTTCCCCTGTTCTTTCTCGTATTATCGAACACCGTTACGTAAGTAACGGTCTCACATTCGAACCATTTCGCGGTTTGTGATCAATGAGATGACTTTTCCTAGTTTGTGACTTAACATTTGTTACCAGTTTTGTTACTGGTTTAAAAAGTCGTATATAGATAGATATACGTACCGGAAAAGTAGGAATTACATAAGTACTTATGCTTTTTATGTAGAAAAAGTATAACCACTAACTGCTAACAATATATCATATCGTATCCTGTTAAGGCTTATTCTTTACATAAAGTGGCTAATTCTCTAGTCATCAGTAAAAATTTCATACAGTGGGAAAAAGAATTCAATTTTTCACCCTAATGTTTTAATGAAACAGCTCACCAAAAAACTTTTCAAAAATAGAAGATTTGCACTGTACTCACGCATTTTAAATTTATGTTCGATCGGTAAAATAAAATTTAAATACAAAATATTCAGTGTCTTCTACGTTTGGGAACATGTTCACCAAAACCGCGTTAATTTAAAACTATGTTGCTATCTATGGTGTGGACAATTTCGTTACATTCGACCGAAATTATATAATATTAGGTTTCAACCATAATTACACGAAGGTCGTTTGGTGGTATTTGTTCGGACATTCTGCGATATGCGTACCAAGCATTCCATGAATATTCATCAATTCCGCAGGATTTTGTTTTGGACTTTATATTATTTTATGAATCGCCCGAGTTTTGGTGTATGTTGATGGAAAAACACTGTTAAAGTCTTTACTTGACTCGACTAGGTTAAAAATCATAGCTGGTTTGAATGCAAACCACTTCTACACTTCTAGTTAACGAATATTTGACAATTTAACAAGTTGCAATTTACCGACGACTTTGCTTTGAAACTTTCTAGGCCACGGTACTGGCGTAATAAAAGACAGTTTTATCATTTATGTTGTCTGCGAACGTTCACCGGTCCTTTCCTTTCACCCGAGGCGTATGATTCTCTAGACCTGCAAAGATAATAAAATGATTCCGTTGCTGAAAGACGACGATCTTGTCTGTTCAGCAGCTTTTAAATACTTACGATTTTGGGCATGAGCTCTAATAAGCGTGGAGTCAAGGTTAAGCAACGCTGAATTTTACTTCGTTTAATTTTGTTTCTTAATTTGTTATTGATTCTCTAGATTTTTGTGTATGGAGCGTTGTGATGTGCTCCATAAAATAAATTGTTACTAATTTTTTTTATTCAGTATATAATTTTTTATATATACATTTTTAAATAAATAGTTTAGTACCATAAGAAACGAAAAATCTATGAATGGCCTATTTATTTTCCCAAAATGGATACAACCTATTTATCAAGGTGGGTACAATGTTTTCAGAACTTAACTTAATTCAAAGAAAACGCAACTAAATTAGATCGACTACATTATTCATAGAAAATATTTACCAAAAAAATATTTTTCTTCAAAAATGCGAGAGCCAAAACGCGAACGGATGCCAGTGCTCAAAAAAAAAGTTGTGTGATTTTTTCCTTAAATCTCAACACCCTGTGGCTTAGACATTAATATACGTTTAGGATGTCCGTCAAAATTTATTTTTTCTTAAAATAAATCCAAGATTAATCTGCTTAAGTGGGGTTGTGGAATTGGCCTGTCAATTTTTTTTATGTTAATTGTCCGAAATAATTTAAAAAATACAATTAAATTTTTATTTATTTATTTTTATTGTGCGGTATATCGCCGTCGCATCGTTCTGAGAACTAAATGGAGTCGATATTTTTATTGGAATTCCGCTAAGTACCGTATTCGGGTATTTCTTGAAGACGGTGATAGGTAGTGTTGAGACTGGTCAAAAAATGTTTTAAATAATATCTTGCAATTCTAGAGTGTTATCTATCATTATTTAATGATAATATGTATTTTATGATTAATTATTATGCGCAAAGAGTATAAGATAGAGGGGAAGGCTCCATTAGTGGCAATGTTAAAAAGCGTACACGAGTTTCAATGCCTCTAGTGATTGTGTCCAGTCATGAACATGGAAAACGCGCGGGACAATTCAATTTAAAGTTTGAAAGGTAAAATGTGAAAAAAAAGTGTCGAAATAGTTTAAAAAAAAATTATTAAGTAATATCCGAATACCATACTTAGCGATTCCTCCATTTGGTTCTCAGAACGACGCGACACGTAACGCACAATATAAATAAATATAAATTTCATCGTATTTTTAAAATTATTACGGTCAATTGACAAAAAAATAGGTCTGTCAATAATAATGCATAATAATTTATTATAAAATACATATTATTAAATATTGATAGATAACACTCTACACCTGCAAGATGTTATTTGAAACATTTTGATCGGATTTGGCCACGGTCAATTGACCAGTCCCAACACCACCCATAATAAGCATTGGCACCGTTTAGGAGCACCCTATTAAATTAAAAAAAAACGATAAAAAAATGTTTGAAGAAGTGGAAGTCGCGACACATTTTAACAGGAACAGGGTTTGAAGTTTATCGATCAATTTTTGATCGTCAAAACATGGGAAAATTTGCCATTACTTTGAAATTTTCAATTCAAGTATTAAACTGCTTTTGTCTAAAAATTTTCTTATTTATTTATTGGTCTCAGTACGCTAATCCGGAGTGGTTACAAGGGAAACTTTTTTTTTTTTAATCCTCGAAATGATGAATGAAATATAATTAAGGATAGATGATCGTGCCAATTATGGAACTGTACATTCTCTGCTGTTTTATAGATAAACAATTGTTGTTAATAATATATGTTTTCGAAATTTGATGATTGTATTATTACGCTTTAAATGAGGCTATCGGAGTTTGGTATCTATATGAATTTTTGGTATTTTTTAAACTTCGCTTAATATAGCGGAGCAGAATATTAGCGGTATATCAGAATTATTTTAGATAAAATATATCCTTTAGTTTAGTTTTCGCCAACACGGTATTTCTTTATTTATTATTTCTGCATGCAAAGGGTTATGTTTACATTATTTCTTTTAACGGACGTGAGCCGATCACAAAAAGCAAGCCGCTTTGCTGAAAGTTCGGGTCTACTTCTGATGGGTACCGACGAAGGGTTTAAAAGCAGGTCACGACAGTTGACCGGTGGCATTATGTATTAGACGATTAAATTAAAAAGAGGCGGGTAACGAGGAAAGCCGTGCCGCTGCTTACTCTTTTTCTCTAATAAGACGAAAGACGAGTAGACGAATTGTTGTCCATGGCAAGTGTAAAAGAAGTTGTTGTGCGCTGTGTAAATAAGTGAAAATATAGTCTTATTTAATTTGCCAGAACGTCGGGCTGTGTTTATTTCCTCAGAACCTTAGACTAACGATAAACAATCCTACATTATTAT